CAATCAACTCATTTGTCCAACTTCTTGTTCAAATGACTCATTTCAGCTGTTATGTTTCTTCGTAAATGTGCTTTTACAGCTGAATGAGAGCACGCAGATTTGGTGGCCGATATCGATTCTGCCAACGTATGTCTTCTTGTGTTGATGAAATGGATAAAGGGAAAAGGATATTTTACATATTTTCGATAATTGTGCAGTACCGTCGAACTTCGTCATTGAAATCCAATTTCTCCTATTTACTTTCGCGATACGATTTAGGCACCAATGGTCGATGACCTCAGCCTCCTTTTACCTTGTTTCACAACTGTAAGTAAGGATGGGCTAGATAGAATCCTGGTAAACGCGAAGCTTGATTTATGGACTTATATTTCACAGCAGTCGCACCACATTATGAGGGATTGTAGGAAGGTCCTTTTAGCTCCATCAACTCGAAGTTGATTTTTGATCCCTATCCTGACTGAATCTTCTGATCGTAGAGTCAAGGCACTTAAAATCCTGTGTTGACTCGATGGATAGGGTTTATGCCCGGGGAAGTAGTTTCCACTGTAATTATCTTGGTTTTCGACGTGTTCATCTCTAGCCCAATGACTAAGTACAGCAACGTTGTCCGCAAGCTCGAGGTGATCTATCTGTCTAGGTTAAGTTTTGCTCCAGAGTAGTCGATGGGTGCCTATTGCAGTATGCAATCTGTGGTATAGTTGAACAAAACTGTGGACATTTTTCAGATCCCAGAGCCTACCATAAACAGCTGATTCTTCTCCTTAATTACAGCGTGTGTCTGGGTCCCTGGATGGTTGGACTTTAAAAAATCTGACGAATTTTACTGGCATTCCGTCGGACAGCGGTTTGCACCTCAAGGATTCTCTGTAACAAGAGTTAAAAGAAATTATCGAAGTTGATGAAACACAGTGTTAGACGGTTGCGGCACCCATGCAGTCTGCGGTCGCCTTATAGTTTTGTTGGTGTTCCTTCTTGGCCTAGCGCGTGCTTTAACGGCAGGAAGAAAGGCCCAAGTATTTACGTGTCCAGTATTCCAGAACACACCCCTAGCGTTTAATTATACTCCCGCGAATGTCTTGTGTAGTGAAAGTTTGACGGTAGCCCAAAAGCGTTGTCCTCTAGTGGAGTACAACGACCACCAGCAAATGCACTGTCTACTTCCGAAAGTCGGGACCAAGAACACTGACATAACTGTAGATCGATATTCACTTCATTGAATTGGGCGATGTTTTTAACTTGTGCACACGTGCGTATCAAAAGATGAACATATTTAGTTGTTTTTTTGCATCATTGAGTTTGTGCTCGCTACCCAACGCTTTTTACCGAAGTTGTTGTTGTTCGAGTGCACACATGGACACAGAGGCACTTGCATACTCAGAGTAAATCATAGAGTGTCTGTTTCCCGGCTTTGGGGTGCATCGGGTTTGTTTTCTTACTCGACCGTTCTTTTTACCCACACCTGTACAAAGTTGGGAGCGAGGAAAAGAGTTCACGGATTGTTGTGAACCACTCCTTGGTTCGCTGGCCTGCCGCCATCGTTGCATCTCAGAGGTCATGATCGAATATCCCTTCCGGGCCAAGTGTGTTAACTGTGCGCTATTCATAGATCCGACTCACTTTTGGTTTGTTTGGGTAAACTTTTAGATGCTTTTGTGACGCATCTTACGCGTTTCGATTATCAACCGGGAATAAGGAGCATCATCCACAGTTGTGAAGCAGAGGACGGACCCGATCAATAAGTATTTTCACTTCATTTCATTTTTTTCTTCCTCTCATGGAATATGCTGTGATGCAATTTTCAGGAAGGGGGAAGCGGTCAATAGAAGGACTGACATACAGCACGCAAAATGAGGAAAGTCAGGCGGTGGTGGTGGGATTCAAACACACGTGCTTCGGGGGTAATCAGTTTCAGTTTCAGTTTTACAACCATTAACCATGCACTTTCGTGCGCGGGTTTTGTTTGCTGTCTTTTGGTTGCCCATTTGGATAAAAGAGCGAAATGAAGATTGGAATGTCGAAGCAAATTCAAGCGGAAGATGGGAAATACGTATAGAGTGGTGTTAGGAAAATAACGAGTGGATGCACGAGCGCCACTGTTTGCGACACCCAGCCATATCACTCAGCGCAGCTAACCATCGGTGACCATCATCCCGAGGTCCCCAGCCAGGGAGCCTAACGGGACCCATGTGACCTAGTCTCCCGGTTAGGGTTTTCATACCCTCATGCCAGGTCTTAGCTTGACCACCCTTCGTTTTTTTCCAATCGCTACCAGCCTTGGCAAACATCGTTCGCCGTGGCAACCTATCTGGTGACATGCGTAGCACATGTCCCACTTCGGGGGTAATAATTTGGTGATCTTTATCAACAGCTCAGTACATTCTGGTGCAGTCTATTCCGGGCATCGATTGAATCCGGAGATAGCCTTTAACGTTGTGTATCATCATAATAATAACCATAGTAATAACCAGCAAAGAGTACTGGACAACTGTTTCGTCATCAACAGTGCCTGGTACCTGTGAAAAACCGAATGGGCTAATCCAAACATTCACCATCTAAATTGTTTATCATATTCCTCATAACGAGAACAAGGTTGTTTAATTGTACACTACAGCAACAGCCTCGATAATGAAGCTGAACGTTGACCTTTGTGTCCAAGATCTCTTGATTCAATCAATTCAGCTTACTTGACCAGTAATTGTTCTCGGCTAAATAAAAGTCATCCAATTACTTGGGGCTTAAATGTGAGAAATATTTGACCGTGATAATCTCAACCATGACTGATACTGGCCTTATCTAGCTGTACTTCTCACGTGTTTTCTAAACCGCTTGAGAGTAAATTACTAAGCGACAATTGTTTCGTTAAACTGTTGCTTGAACGTCTTTTACAAACGCATGTATACAACTGGGGAAAGATAAAATGTGTTTCGGTACGCGCGTGGCCAAATTGAACAAAACGTGACACATCTAGCACTTAGTAGCAGTTGGTGACAGATGGAGCGTTTTACCATCATGATGCAATCCATTATTAAGCAATCGCCAACTTTCGCCTCAGCCCTCGCCTCGCCCTTTGATTGCTGTCTTCTCCTCAATCAAAATTGTCCGTACCTCGGGATGTTCATTGAAAGGAGGTAATGGAAAAAAGTAAGACGATGTGCATATATTTTTTGAACGGGAGAAGGCGAGCGCCAATTGATAGTACCTATTGTAACTTGGCCATCCAGACTAGGATTCCTCGTGGAACTATAGTGTGTGTGTGCGTGTGAATGAATTGGTTATGCTTGTGCCTCGCGCCGTAGTTTGTGTTGTACCCGTTTTTTCATTAATCCCGCGTCCCCCTATTGGTTGTACAATCGTTGCGTAATGTTTATCGATTTCGACGTGCTAATTGAATGAGTTGGTCGAATGATGCACTTCAGAAGCTCCCCCCTTCCTCTTCGTCCTTGCCACCGCTTTTGCGTTGTTGATTCTGACCACGTGACCTGTCGTTGCTCCGTGATTCACAAGGTGTGAATTCGGCTGAACGCGTTGTAGTGCGAGTGTGTTTGCATAGGCGAGTACACATTTGTTTATCTATCTCTCCTATCCAGCGTTAGTCACAATCTAGACACGGAAATGGGTGAATTGTTGTATGGTTCTATATGATCCTTACCGTTGAACAAAACTGACCACATTGTTGTAGCTTTGTGGGCAATGGTGACACCCGAAGAGCGAAGAATGCGATCGACGGCTTCTGATATCCTACGTATGTACAGTATTAGGAGGTTGGTTTTCTCCTCATCGTTCTTTGGTTTTCTTTCCCCCAATACATGATTGAACGAAACTTTTGGGGCATCCATTTGTATGGAACTGATGGAACAAATAGATTTGTTCTTCATCCCGGAGTTCTTTTCTGAATGCGCACCACTGACAAACTCTCGTGGGATCAAAATCGGTGTCTATAGTGTTTCTCGAGTTTATGGTTGTACAAATGAAAAATATATGTAGATTCGATTTTGACCACGCTCCTTTCTGTGTCACAACCGACACGATGTTTTCCAGGCTTGGACAGGCACATGCTATTCCGACACTCTGATGAGAAACCCTTCGCTTGCGATCAGTGTGCTTATCGGTGCAAAACCAACAGCGCTCTGAATCGACATGTTCGATTAGGGCATAAAAAACGAGGGGGCTCGGAGTATCCTCTTGATCTTTCCTCTTCCGCAAATCTGTTGGTCAATCGGATCGACACTGACCTCGATGGTGAGTTTTTATTCAATATCATAGGACGGATATTTAGGTAGTAGGGATTTTAGTCCTTCTGTATTCAGAAAAACCATTTTCTGGTCCCTTTTAATTGGGAGTTAGCACCATCTAATCGATTAATTATAGCACTGATTGGATAGTTTCATTTTTTGTGTATGACAAACCTATTCTATACTGTTTTCTATGCCTGCTCACTTTCTGTATATAGGCTATACTTCAAAATGGTAATTGGGTTGACCTCGTATTCGAGCCATTATCAAGGTTGAGTAAAGATGTCCGGTTTCTGCCTTCTAACCCTAAATCCTAAAGCGCATCAAAGACAGCGACCCTCTGTTGATTCCTTTCATGTTCCCTTATTTTGACATTCCGAACCAGGGTCTCCTAATCCACGTTCAACCAACCCTCCCGTGCTTGGTCCGCTGGCCGCAGCAGGCGCTTTAGGTCTGCTCAGACCCTCCAAGTCGACCGATGTAGCCCCATTGGCAGCACTCAACTCGATCGACACACGGCCATTTCCCGGAAACTCCAATCGATCCCATTGGATCCGATGCACTTTTCCCGATTGTAAATTTAAGACTACCAAACAGGTCGGTTTTCAAGTCCACATTGGCCGAAAGCATACGGTTGTTGCAGATCCACCGGGGCCATCCAATACAGACACTGTTTCACAGGACGCTTCGTCTCAAGCCACCCAACAGTCGAACGCTTGCTATATTTTCCGCCCGCCATTATATGCCTGCCATTTGTGCTCCGTAGTAAAACGTCGGGGTAAGCGTTTGGTTCTTTTTTTATTTTCACGTCGTTGATACTGATACATAGAAGGATTAACTGCGCTTCTAACTTACATACAGATCAAACCTTGGCGTTACCATTTCTCGAGTGTTGTCCCAATGTCAATAATGACAATAACAGTGTGTTTGCACCCCACTCTGTTTCTATTTTCCATTTAATTTTCATTATTCTTTCACCATAAATGTTTTTTGGAGGTATTCGGTGCTGGTCGCTTTGACACATTTTTCAAATCAGTTCTGCACTTGTCCTCGCGTTAGAAATATTCAAATATTTTCCATTGATCTATCAGGTTTCGATTTATCCAAACACTTGATGCGGGACCACAAACTGACTCGACCATCCGGTCACGTACGTTTTACCTACGCGCTAGAAGAAGACGGTCTGTATCGTCTCGAACGAACTCGACTGGATACGGTTTCCGTGGCCGCTGCGTTGTTGGGCGAGCATGTGGTCAACCGATTATTGTCTAATGCAGGCAATCAGATGTGTACGACGAAATAGATCTCATTTTGCACACAATTGCTGTTGTGGCACGGTGTGGAAAAGCAAATTCCCCGAAGAACAGTTATCAATGTGTTTTTGTTTTGAAACTGTTATTTTCACGGTAAACTCTTTTATACATACACAGAAATGGCATCGTGTTCCAATCTGATTTTCACACTAGTCAGCACATTTTTCGATGCATAACTGCCATCTTGTCAGTTGTTGCACTCGTTGTACAATCGTTTATCGTATCTTACTGTCTGTCCTTTGTACCTACTGTTTTTTAAATTCTCATTTTTTATGGTCCTCCCGTGGAAAAGAGCAGCATTTAGTTACAGCGTTTTTCTATTTGCAGCATTTTTCTTTAGCTTGGAAACGACAATATCATCTCCCGCAGGACTAATTTACACTAGCTTTGCAGCCTCGGTACTGATGTGAGAAGTACATTGTATTAGTATTGAGTAACTCTTCACCCTCTGAAAGTTGTTCACGCAATGTTGTACATACCAGAGACTTACGATCCTTGTATTATTCGGTTCCATCGATACTTTTACACTACGGAACTGTTTGCTGAGGAACAGAATTCTCGAGAATTATTTGTCAATACTCAGAATTTTATATCGTCATAACTCAGATAAAGTTAAGGCCTATAGATAACTGTCGCTACCCTTTGCCAGCGGTGTGTGGCAGGCCTATTTATACCGCGTTTCCTTCAAATTTTGCCATAGTAGATGTTCTACATAATGCTTTGTCCATTCTAGCAAACGGTGGAACTCATCTTCTCCCTGGGAGCGGAATCTATGGCGTAGAATACGCCGATGACATCGCCCTGCTGAATAACAATACACCGGCAGTCTAACATAGTTTGAACCGCTTTGCAATCGAGATATCCAGATACGGTGCTTTCCACCATCCAAATGTAAAGTACCTGTACTAGACTAATAGGAGCCTGTTACTGCGCTCACCTTCTGTTGTAATAAGGTAGAGATAATAAGGAGCTGTAAGTATCTTAGTGGTTTAATCACAGTTTTAGGTGGTGTTGGGGCAGTTCAAATCACGAATGGTGAAAGCTAGAGCTAGAGCCAGTCTACAATATCTGTGCCACTGCCATGACACTCGTGTTTTGGGTAATGATCGTCGTTTTCTGAAAAAAGGTTATCTCCCGTGATGGCTAATTCATGTTTTGCGTATACCTGCCCAATGACAGCCTCTATTCTCTCTTTGCGCATGCTGCGCAAGACTGGAAGAAGCGTCATGGTTGTCAGAACATGACTTGGCCCAGAGTTATTGAGAAATTAGCTTCAGTCGGTGCAGCCTGCCTTTCAGGTTGGGGTCCAGGGGATGGGAATTGTCGCTGTGCGACATGGTTCAGAATGAAAGTCACTGGTACGAATGACTAAGGACTGTTTGCCGAAATTCCGTGCCCCATAAAACACAAATAAATAGGGTGTATGGTGAAACATACCAAAAGATCATTGTTCTCCGCAGTCTGTTTCTCTTCATTCGCACGTATCTCATCTGAACCTGACACCTCTCTTCCCAATGTGATTGTCGTCGCATTGGCACCATGCCTGTTCTCAAATTGGTGTTATAATTGAAAGCTGTCTGGACTATTCCGGATCAATTCTCCTTTCCTATTACTGATTTCATGTGATACATTCATCTATTGTCCGATTGGATAGGTCTGCCAAAGCGTGTAAGTTACCACCATCATGTCGGTTATATGTACGGAATAAGGCTTCAAAAATGTTCATGTTTAAACCATGTAATCACATGTATCACATATATAAAATTAGCTTGTGGCGTGCTAGGAAAACTAAGATTCAATCTTGGTGTCAACTCCGCAAAGGCTTCTCCACTCAGGTCTTTTTAGGGTGAAACCAAGTCAACGGCCAGGTTCGACAGTCAGATTGGCATGGCTCACAATATATGGATAACAAGATATTTGCTTGATGTATTTGATCTACTGAACTCTCACTCATCTGCATAGTGACTGTATTCAGGTGTTAATGAGGTATAACACACGCAAAAGAGAACGATTTCAGGTGGAGAAGGAGCGAATGGAACGACTTATTCCTAGAGGTGGAGCTAGCACACCACTTTTTAAAAAAGTAAGTTTACTGACGAAGAGTTCACTGTATCTTGAGTACGACGGGGATTGGCACTACTACTTCGAGTGGGCCTAATGTTATCCGTCGAACCTGGTATACCATTTTCAGAGTAATAATACTTAGTTTTCATGAAAAAAAACGGCTGTGCAGCATTAATGCCAGTAAATCAGTGTCGTCAAAATCCGTGTGACGATTTTTGAAATGTGATCAATGATCATAGTGCTGTTAACCTTTTGGCTGTTATTCCAATGTGTTTCGAGACAGTCCGGTTCGATGAATCTGGAGTTCTAGAGTTTATTAGCTACGTCTGTTCTCTTTTCATTTCTCTCTCTCTTTCATTTAACTAGCAATTGGAATGAAGTAGCACTGTACATCGGTTCTACGTCTCACAATTTCTCTCTATTTTTCAGAGGTGTTCGATAGGGGAAAGATAAAAGAAGATAAGAAATTTTTGAAGGCGAGCGTGTACAATAGTCTGGGGTTGCGTTTGTATATAGCGAGCAGGTGCAAGTTGTAATAATATCAATATACTAATGAATTATCACGTTTACCCATGGGTGATGAACAGTTAAGTGTTCCAATACTGCATTGAGCTGTGACTTGACTGAATCGATAGTTGGAGGACACATGGAACGAGGTTCCAAGATTTGGGTATTCTGTGGCTTTAAGGGCAGTCTACTCGACCCTTATTTCCGAATAATTTGAAGGGATATCCCTTGAGGTAATCACACCTGGATAGTTCTAGCTATATCTGCACGAACGGTTAGGTTGATGTAGTATTTGATACAAGAGGATCATGTCTCCCTGAATTCGGCGGTTTTAAGGTGACAAAAGTCCGGGGATTCGCAGCCTTTCAATGTAAGTCCTGGGTTTTAATCCTTTGACAGTTCCGTGTAGACGTTCGAGCGCTTATTTGCCATGACTTCGTCATGGTTTCTAAACATGGATGGCATATGCGGTATGTGGTCTAATATATGCGGCAGAAAATGGGCAGTAGATCTATTTTGAGCGGTCCAAACACACCTCTGAATAATCCTTCTTGCTTCTGGGTCATTGATGAAGCCTGAATACAATATGTGGAACTTCCTAGATCCCCCTGGACAATAACTCCCAGATTCTCCTCATTCGGAGCACGCGGTAATAGTTGGTTTTTCATTACTTACGGAAAATGAATCCTGTTGAGCAATTATACGATCTTATATTTCTCAGCTTTGAATTGAATGTCACTCGTGATAGACAATCGATAAACGGTGTCCAGTGTTTCCCGTAGTGTTTTATGTGCCGTTCTTCGTGTTTTTTCATAATCAGGGTATAGTAGTACTTGAACCCCTAAGATATCTGGCAGATAGTTTATGAATGCTAGGTAGGGACCAAGTACGATACTTGGGGAATTCCATGAACTGGCGATCGATCCTGATATCGAGCTATTTCCCTCAACGGTTACTGTATGTTATCTAAGAAGTTCCTCATTCCAGTCAAGGAGGTGTTATCGAACGTCGTAGTTATGGCACTTTATCAGCAGTATATGGTGATGCACTCCGTAAAAGCTTTGGATAATTCCAAGTAGAACACTACCGCCTCTCTAGTGTCAACTTCTTTTTCACTCATCTCGAGCAATTAGTGGATTTGTGGTGAACGACTTTTTTCGTCTAAACCCGTTTCGAGGTGGCGACAGAATGTAATACTTCTCAAATTGCTTCATCACAGATTCAGCAGCATTTGATTCCATCCCATTAATTTTGACTGAGTAGAAAGAAGTTTAACTGGACGGTAGTTCGCGGGGTTCATTTCGGTGGCCACTCTTGTAACTGGATGAAATGATACCGGGTTTCCATGACTGGGGAATTATCGTCTTGTCGAACATACTTTGGTGCAAGTTGGCGGTTACTTCAGACATGTGGTTTGCCAAGGAGGTCAGATTTCGTGGATGTTTACTTCTCCTGGGGATGAATTCTCACACAAATCCAGCAGTATGTCTTTTTGCCATTTCAGTCTCGAAGGTGAACGTAGTCAGTTGAGGGTATCCGACAGTTGGCAGAATATATAGAAGCTGTAATCCGACTTTGTCACCTGCAGCGAAAACTTCATAAAACTGTACCTTCAAGAATTCGGCTTCTTCAGACGTAATAGTTGAAAGCCGTTCGGCGTGCTTGAATGCCGGTATTCGGTATATCAATTTCCTGGTGACATTGACATGCTTACATAAAAGTTTTGGTAATAATAATTTTGATACCTCCGTTTTTCCACTCACACGAGTTTTACCCAAAGTTTGCTCAACATCATATAGTTGTATCATTTGCATATCGTTTTAACTCTCCCTAGAATAAAATCATTTGGGACATCTTTGTTCGACTGGGAATAGGTGATAATTGCGGATGTGATCAGGTTGTTCATCCGGAAGAGTCCATGGCTTGGATAAAAGAAGTCTGCAAATGTCTCTAGTCAATAAGCTTGCAATATCTCATGAAACGGAGAAACTTAAGACGGCTCTTTCAAACACTCGACAGTTATTGAAACGGCACCAGTTCGGTGTCATCATCCCGTTATATAAGCTTCAAATTATTGACACTCAGTGAATTTAATGAGGATTTGATCCTTGCTTTCGTTTTGCCAAACGCATATCTGGCTGTATGTATTCGTTCACTAGGATTTATCAACCGAACGTATCACACTTGGATTGATTTTGCGTAGTAGGAGTAGCGTGCAAAAGTGGATTGATTATTCCTATAAGAGACTCAACGTGTTAGGAAGCACCGGTAAGATAGAGATGAGAATAAAATGTACGTTATGAAACAATCAGTTTATCTGAAAGATTTGTTTTGATTGAAAATCAGTTAATGTATTTAACCCTTTTTGTCCCAGAGACTTATTTCAGATGCGAAGTTATGGATTTGTTTTGCTGAAACAGAGTAGATTTTGTAATACCCACAATTTCTTACGGTGCGACAAAGATAATGACACCAATGGGGACATTAGGTTTCGTGACTAGGTCATAAGTGAAATGAACAATCACGTGAGGGTTGCGGATTGGTGCATTTGAACACCAGTACCCGATCGATTATAGGTTAAAATAAACGGCAGCACGGGGAGGCAGCCAGTGTTTTATGCATGCAGAATGTATGCTTTGGCGTAAGAAAAAACAGACCAACGTGTCTGATGTTGAGCGTGACTCGGATATGGGTGGAATATCACAGCCAGCCTCGAGCAATGTACCGAGTGCCGGAGGATCAGTAAATCTGGCCACTGAAGGGACAAATGTTCCAGTACTCACAAATGCTTTAGATGACGGAATGGGAGCTGGTGCTCTAGTCGCTCTACCCCCGGCAAATGATACAACACCGCCGAGATTTCAGTTAAAGCGATGGAGCGCGTGTGTCTATTGGTCTTGGGATGTAATGCATGACACATGTGTGATTTGTCGCAATGCTATGATGAGTTTATGTAAGTTTCTGGTTGTAGCATCTGAGAAAAGTAGGAATGAAATCTACGTAGTTTAGATAAATATGGTCATGTCATGCATAAAACATACTTTTTAGCAAAGGTGTATAGGTAGGCTGGAAAATTTATTCCCAACGTTGTGAAAAAGGCTTTATAATTGTCAATTTCAAACTTTTATTTGAAACAAATCAAATAATGGTAGAAATTCACTCGAAATATTTTGTTTAGGCGGAAATTATACAAATATTTTTTGATACAAACATGAATCTGAATCTGAAAAGCTCACAAAAGTCGTAGGATATATAGAATGAGTCTCGTCATTCGGCTTAGCCCTCGAGCTCACTGATGTAGCGTTCATACATGACAGTCTGTCAACTTCTGTAATACTTTCTTGTCATTATCACCGCGCACCATTCTGCGTTGAAGACTCACCTCTTCGTTTTCGATGTCTCCAAGCAGTACCTAGTTGACTGTCACCTCGATCCTTCTTTATTCCTTTTAATTCCATTTATTGAATACATAATCATACAATTTTCAGGAAGAGAAAGCTGTCAATGAAACGGCTACCATATGATACGCAATGGAGAAAGTTAGGCGGTGGTGGTGTGGATTCGAATCCACGTGCTCCGGGGTGATAATTTGTTGACATTTCCAGCGGGTCACCACCACCAAATTTGACTGTATCATTGTATTCGATAGACAGAAAGTTAAAAACCGTTATAAATCATATAAATTAGACGACCCTGTTGTAACTACTTTGGATAGTTTACTTCGGTCGTACAGAAGCATTTTGCAACCGGAATGTGAATTATCATATCTTTAATCTTAGTCCTAAAAATCTGGTAGAGATTCGCACTGGTTAGCTGTATAGATTCGGTTATAAATGACGCAGTTCTGCACAAGTCAGTGGTCTGCCGCCAGTCCAGTATTTTCAAGGATCTTGAGCACACCCGATTCCGTCTCAAAAAAAGCCGATGGATTTCTTTGAGCCAACTGCACTTCAGAGGATCGAAGAAGTTCTTAGATATTTTTCTTTTCTTTAAACTTTAGTTCCTTTTGTTCTGTCCGTAATAAATTCATCAGGAAAGTGGCGGTAATTGCTGCAACACTAAATCTCACGTCAGATTCTAAACGCAGTCTCAAAAATGAACGTTATTCACATTACAAGTTTCCCTTCAAAAGTCACTTTACTTCTGGTCAGTTGGCTGTAAAATAGATTCGGATCTTGTACTTGTGGGTAGGTTATTCACACAAGATAATACATAGGGTAGTATTTACATAACTAGTGAGTGGGTTGGGCCATTTTTTACTTTTTTTAAACTTCCCACAATTGAAAGGATTACTTATGTAGTGTGTATTTACAATGTGGGCTAAAGAAAGCAAACCTTAAGTCGATGAGCGCCTACATTTAATTGATTTCATGTTTTTATAATCAAAGTACACCTGGCAGTTTAAGCTCAATGAAATGTCAGCTACGTAACAGAGGTAAATCAGTACAACATACTGCTCTCGTTTCTTGAATATCTGTGCAATTACTTGTTTCAATGTACTGTGCTCATGCATCACACAAATGATTAAGCAGGACAATCAGATAGTTATAATCAGTTCTTGACCACTACGTTTCTAATAAGTCCTGAGGCTTCATTTTTCGTAATGAAGCTTTTCAGTATACACTAGCATCAGTCCTGAGTTGTTTCTTGGTGGTTGATGTCTTTATATATATATATATATATATATATATATATATATATATATATATAAAGACATCAACCACCAAGAAACAACTCAGGACTNGTTAATGCACCAGCACCACTGTTGATGACATTCAATCGTATCATTTAGTATTTCTAACCATGGGTTACACTGATCCCTAGGTGCCTATCCAGGAAGACCACGGCAGCCTATGCAACCGAGTCTCGTCGTTAATAGTTTCATGCCATCACATCAGTTCTTAGGTTGATTGCCCTCGACTTTATTCCCCTGTTACTTGGTTCAGTAAACGTGGTGCATCGTGGCAACCTAGTTGGTGGCATGTTTATCACACTCGAATCACTTGCTGTAGTAAGTGACCACAATTACCTAAAACTCTGCTCCTAACCTCAGCATGCCCCGCCAAACTCGTGCAACGCGACGTAGATAATAGTGTTCAAATGCCGACAGTCTATTTTTATCCTGTTTTCATAATGGCCGAGTCTCCGCACCATATAGAAGCACTGGCCTAACGGCTTATCATACAGTCAGCTTACCACAGATAGCCAGATAACTTGACGGAAGCGGAGGTCTTAAGCCCTCTGTATGCGTGTGAAAACCGCCTCCGTGATGTACCCACCAGGTGAGCTATAACTTCACCAAAAGAAAATATTCACTACTTTCTTCAGTACTCACCCAATTAGGATGAGATCAGGTGCTAACCGAACCCAGCTTTGTAGAAAAATTTTACTTTTTGAAGGTGCCAAATGCACGCCGAACATGGCTTCACTAGCCATTAAGCAATCCAGAAAGGCTTGAAACAAACCTCGATCTTCACTTAACAGCACAATATCGTCTGCGCACTCTAGTTCGGATAACCTACCATATGGGGGCAAATCGACCTGGCTCACCTCACACGAAGCCTCAGTCCTTTCAACAACCATACTTTATACAAAGGTGAAAAGAAGAGGACTGATACGG